CTCTTTACTTACAACCGCTGCTACCACAGCTGTTGCTAATGCCAAGTAAGTAGAGACCTCATACAACAGGCACTGTGCTAAGCACTTTCACAGACTTAACACTGAACCCCCATACAGCTCTCTGATGTTAGCTAATAAAGTAACAGTACCAAACTCCTCGAAAGAAGAAAACATTTAAATTTTACGCAAATGAAAAAATTACTATAGACATCTCACCTTTTCCTCCATCTTCCAGACTACATCTTTGGGTATGAAATTTGCACTAAACCAACACTTATTTTCAGGACTCTGGCTCCCAATGAAGAGTACTGACATTCAAGATGCTAACAATCACTACAGAAGAATCAGAGCTCTGAATGTAAATGCTGCTAACAAAGCAAAGCCTTCCAATCAACTGAAGTTACTGAACTACACGCATCCTCCCCCACTCCACCCCTACTCAAAAGCACTGGAATACATATCAAGCCCTATAGTAATATTACAGTGTAAGAAATAACAAGTTTCCGATGGCCAGCCACACTAGCAATCCACAATGCTGTAACTATCAAGAAATCTACGTCAGCACAGGCATAAAAATAACTTACAATTACTAAGACTTGATTTTACATATGTAGGTACACACATGTGCATGCATTATTTGTATATATATGTATACAGTGATCTATTATTTTATATGTACATCATGTAGAGAAGGATATAAAAATAAACTATTCTCAGGGGAACTGAAACATTAGGCTGTTTCTAGAGACTCACTTTAGAATTTCAGCAGCAGAATAAGCACAATACTCCCAATCAAAGTTTACTTAGCAGAAAGTTCTTGGTGGCTTGGGAAGCTGTGTATAAAATGGAGTAGGCAAGAGGAAAGAGAGTTGCCTGTGCTGTTTAAATCAACTACAGGTCCCAGCATGCAATGCTTTGATCTGAAGTTAAGCAAAGCTGCAGTGCATCCTGGGATTTGTAGTACACAATGCACTTCACCCTATCACAGTTAAGTTTCAAGAGAGTCTCAACTATCTAGCAGTTTTACTACCTCTGATGATGAAGATCAATGTAAACTCTAGCTTCATGTGTTCTCTGCTCCAGAATACAATTCAGCACACATTGGGGAAAGTATCAATTAATATTTACATCAACATATTCACAATGGAAAAAACCTTATATAGAATAAGCATAAGAAAAAAAGTCTGAAATATTTGATAGGATGGAAATCGTTTTTGAAACTTTTTTTTTAAGTTTGGCAGGATGTGTTCCAAATCTAGAAAAAAATTTAAACTGTTTTACTAGATCTCCCCTGAAAGGTCTTCTCAAGTTATCTTTCATAATTTTTCTTTTAGGAAATTCTCTTCAAAACAACATGTTTCATGACTCCAGTATTAGCCAATGGAAACACACTCTCAATCTTTCGGTACTACACGCTTACAAGAGCATCACCAAAACAAAAAAAGCTCAGGTTTCTCTTTCGCCAAATCTGTAGTATTTTATAATCACCACTCCTCTCCCCTTATTTCCTAAACACACACACACACACACACACACACACACACACACAGGATATTTGGGGTGCCTGGGATGAGGTGGGGGGTGCCCAACTATAGGCCTATTTTTCTCCTCCATTGACCTCTTCCGGTAGCACAAACGATTAAAAAAAATTAAAAGGCTATTAAACATATCCAAATCCTGGCTGGTCATTTGAGCTGTAATTCACATGTATACAGTTCCTACACACACACACACACACACACACACACACACACACACACACACACACACACACACACGCACACACACGTTTCTGCAAGATGAAGGGGAGAAGCTGGGAAAGAACTGACTGCAATCTGCATCAGGAGGCCTAACCCAGGTGGTGGGTTATTTTCAGGCAACAGCACCTTTGAAAACAGGCTGTGGAAGACAGGCCAAGAAATTCCTAACGAGGAAAGATAAGCTGGCACGTAAATTCAACCCAATCCAGCTAAAAATCACCTGCAGCACATGCCACTACATCTCCCCATAAAAGTGACGGCTACCCAAGGATCTGAAGCTTCATCAATACAACATACTGTCCATAGGCCAGAGATTGCAGTTGCCATGGTTACTATCACCCACTTTTATCAGGAAATTATTGTCATTATCCTGAAGTTTGGGATACTTATTGAAAAGGGGACTAAAAAGAAAAAGCAGTTTGGTTTTCTGACTGTTAATTGAGTGAAAGACTGAACTACTCTTTGATTTGCAAGTGTGCTGCTTGGGAGATGCACATGGTTAACAATACTTGGATCTGCAGCAGGGAAAAAAAAAAATCAATTCCTTTCTGCTGCTCCTTCCCCTCAAGTACTGACAGTTTGTATTCTCAATGCAGCCAAAACAATAAAACAAAACCCATCTTTTTGGCTTCTGTGTTTAAGTTATTTTGTCCCCCTAGGCCCACAAACAGAGGCAAAATAAAGCCTAGATCATCAACCTGTTAGGCCTCATCCCCTTCCTAGCTCCATTCCCCAATCACTGTCTTGTCTACTAAGAAAACCAAACAGAAAACCTTCCTGTGGTTCATTCTGAAATACAGGAAAAAATAATGTCCTTCAACTGAGATCTGCTCACTGACCTTTTAAAAATACATTATTATTTTAAAGAAAGAAGGCAGGCCTTGAGGAGTACTGCAGCCAACGAGGGAAGGCCAGAGGAATTCAAACTACCAGGCGGTCTGGTGTTAAAAAGTTGCTTTAGAAAAGCCCCAGCAAGCAAGAAAGAGTTAAGACTGGATTGATGGATAAGCCATGTGGAAGTTACTCTTAAAAGTCTATTTCAACAGCCTCACAAAAGATAACTGTTCAAACCTGGAATACACCAAACAGGATGGCCACACATACACAACAAGGAGAAAGCATATAGTATTTTGGAAATAATTATCTGCAATAAATTTAATGCGGTGTTAATGTATTACTTCTTAAATAGAAGTAAAAAATAATAATAAAAGAAGTCAAAGCAGCCAAAAAGCATCTGGTATAGTTAATAATGATCAAAATAGACTGCCCTGCTCATAAAGAATACTGAAACCTACACAGAAACACCACGTGCAAAAGTTCCTGATAAGCCAACATCTGTCATTCATACGTCCCAACACAAATTAATATGAAGATTCAAATACGCTTCAAGAACTCATGTATTAATATTGATATAATAGAATTTTATCTAAGGTTAGCGATACAAACTTCCTTTGAAAAGTTAACTAAATTCAAAAACCTTAATTTAGAAGCACAATGACATAACCTTAGCTTTAGCTTATGTCCTCACAAGGAGCTTTTGCAGACACGTCTGGGAGGTGAAAACTTACTGTCACCCAGAGAGCTCTGTCTTTATCTAAAGAGTTAAATGTCCCTCTCACCGTTCACACAGGCAAGTCTCTATCTACTTTCTAATTGGGGCTATTTCATAAAGAACAAACACTTCTAAAATTCAAGGTACTGTGTCTTTTGATAAAGTCATAAACACAGGGACTCCCAATGACTCATATATTTTTATTTCAGTTCTGATTGCAAATGTATAAGGAAAGTCTATTAAGAAAGCCAAGGCTTTAAGTTTTAAACTTTTGAGTTAATTCTTGCACAGAGATATCTAAGTGCACTCTAGATTTGAATAGTCATTTCCTCATGTTTTTCTAAAATAGAAAAACAAAAAATGATACACACATGATCCTAATGCTAATGCATACACACACACACACACACACACACACACATCTTTTTTACTTTGAAGTATGCTTGAAAGTTTTAGTCAGGATGACTTTTTCAAAAAGTTAGCGTGTCACGGAAAACAACAAAACCTTAACCATGACATCTGTTACGCTCTGTGTTAATAAAAGCCTAGAGAGAAGCCGAGGAACTGAAATATCCCCTAAAACCCCTACTAAAGCTGTCACATCAATGGAGAAATGAAAAAAATTTGAGAAGGTACACACTTCACAGGATTTCAAAAGGAAAAAATTATGTTTTTCTTTCCTTTTTTGAATCATGTAAAACTGCATAGGCAGCATTTTTTAAACAAAGGTTCAAAAACTGTAACAAAGAACTTTGTGGTAACTACAGTAACATTTTTTTAAAAATATTTTTTCCCATACACTGTCCATGGGGGTCACTTTGTCCTCATTTCTCAATTGATATGGAGAAAGCTTTTTTTTTTTTTAATGGCAAAATAGTCTATGAATTAGTTACCTATCTCAATCACTTAACATCTGTATGGTTCCTGACAATTTACAAAGAACTTTCATTCTCTCAGAGACAGAACTATTTCTAGAAAACAGACAAAATTCAAAACAGGTTCATAAAATGCTCTATACATTTTATGCTTTTTAAAACTACACAAGCAACTATAATAGCAAGGTACTTCCAGTGATAACACCTACTACAGTTTCAATGAGCCAGGTACTGTAAATACTGTAAAACTGTTGAAGTAGGTTAGTTGTTAAGTAGTCAATGCTTACTAAGTTGGCATATCAGCAGGGACCCATCCTTTACATTTTAACTTGTAGTTCAACAAATTTCAGTCTGTGGAGGCCACCTTCCTATCGCAGCCACATGAATTTATAAAACTGAGTGCCCTAAGATGTAACTACTGGAATCATTAAATCCACAGATTTAGGGAACAGACAGGCACAAAGGCTGAGGATTTTTACCACATTCTTCCTCCCTAAAAGATCAAGCTCACTACAGCTCACTTGTATTAATATTACAGGGATGATCACCAAGCTTAAAGGTCCCAAAGTGTATCAAGTACTTTTTGCTTATACACACTGAACATAAGTAAAAAAAATAAGCATCCAACACCCCCACTCACACATCTAAGACTAGTTTCCTTCCAAAGACAACCACATCACACATTTTTATGCAAGCCACAAGAACAAAACTACTTTGAAGATAGATACTCTGGAAATAGGAAAAAAGGAGTCAAGAGATGTCAGTTTCAAATAGCAAATGTAATTCATTAGTGAATTTTTTAAATGGACTTACTCAAAATCTTTCTGGAACTTTAAGGTGATAATAATCCTGTGGCTTAGTTGAAGCTAAGTAGAGTTGTCGCAAGCAGCAAGGCCCTCAAAAGTGTGAAGGGCTTGTTCCTGGTGCAGCACCTCCTGCTGGATAGCTTTAGAGCTCTTCATGTGAGCAGAGGAAGAGGATTCCTGAGGCAGCTCCTTCCTGATGACTGAATAGGGCAAAGGATGGGCCCTTCAAAGCTAAAAGAAAGAGGGCTCTGTCCATCACTTGTCCCTCTTAAAAATAAAATTCAGCACAGACCGGAGACTTGCATTCTATGACTACTCCACTTTCATAATGACTGGAGTCCAAAATGCAACACTCTCAAGTATGCCCATTTTCCCCTAAGAACTAAGTAAAAAGCCTTCACAAGCACTCAAGGAGAGAAGAAGAAAAAAAAAAAAGACCTTACTATGAGGCCTGCTGAGCAAGGGCGGTCAAGTTGTACATACTACTCTGTTGACAAACGCATACGTCTGATGTATGATTTTAACATGCTGGTCCGACATGGGGCTGGAATTTTTCTGCACTATTACTATACCCTCCTTAAGGAGAGTGGTACACCTACAGGCATTTGACGTTCAGGCTTGGTAACCATGAACATTACTGCACCCCAAAACATCCTCTTCGCCACCAAAAGGTCTGTCTTGGGATTTCAAAATGCATTCTTCGGGTATTTTAAATGGTCCTAAGAAGTTTGGTTTTAAACCCATAAAGTAGATTCCATATACCAGTGAAGGCAGAAGAAAGGAGATGCTGGAACTTCACCAAATTTCAAATGAACAATAGTGTGCCCCCCTCCCCACGCCCCAAAAATGCAGTCTGTGTCATGCAAAACAGAATCCAGTCCATTGAGAAACTTTTTGTTTTAATGGAGGCTAGTCTTCAAAAACGCAAAAGAAGTGCTGAACTATTTATTTCTCTTGTCCAAACATGAGTAAATACCAGATGTAAACAAAACAAGAGAAAAGCTGAAAAGTACCCTGAGATGTGTTGGGCCCCAGATCCCAGCCCCTTTAGCAAGCCCTCAATAAAGCCACAGATGTTGCTGGGCAGGCTGGCTCCCCACCCTATGGACCCCTATAAAAGAGTGGCTCTGAGAAAGCTTCCTTTCCCTCAGTGCCAGCTGCTTTCAGAAGGAGGGAAAAAAAATAACTTTCATCAGAAAAAATTAATCTGATTCTAATATTCTGCTATCAATGATTAATAATTGATCAATGCTCTTCCCTCTAACTTGCCCCGGCGCAAGCATCGACATTCCCGACACCTATGGAGAACCATCCCCGGCTATGGGGCAAATCTTTGAAATCCTAAACACAGCCACAAAGTTCACTGTCAAGGCCAGTGCAGAGGCCCACACCGGCCCCGACCTGAACTCACGCTTGAAATTCTAGGAAAGCCTTGCCTTCCCAGAGACATCATTAAAAAACACCACAACGTGGACGTGCCGAATGAGATCCTCTACTTCAAGACCTAAACAAAGAATATTTCAACATCTGACCGGAATATGATGACACTCCATTCACCAATGAAAACAAAACCTGCCTACCATTAGCAGTCCTACCCGCATCTCAACAACTCAACTACTTAGAAAATCACTCTCGGCACATCTGCACCCCTCCACGGGCGTGTGGCCTTCTCCCGGGG